ATTGATGATGACCTCCCAATGTTTTAAAATGAATAAAATACATTTCCTCGGAAATGATTTGATAATATATTATCATGTTTTTGGGAACAAATTCTGCAACGTATTTCCTTAAAAGATACTCTGATTTTTAAAATCAAGCATAAGAAAATCGGTCTTTTTGGGCCGTGAAATGGGGGATGTCACATTTTTTGCATAACTTGTGTTCTGAAAATGAACAATTTTACCTTATTTAAAAATTAAAAATTTTGGTTGAGAAAATCAGACGTTACAAATTGGTACCAGAGCACTTGTTTGAGGGATTTGGATGAGCACTCGTGTACTTCCAAACTCAAACTATTGAGCTGAGAGTTTTTCTAAAACTTTTTGAAGAATATTTGTTCAAGAAAAGAAAGGAGAAGACACAATGTGTATAGTTAGTCGGAGCTCGAAAAGTGATTTCCCAAAATATCCATACTTACTTTATATGTTGTATTTGACTTGTTGTTATATGTGTTATAATATAATGTGCATGCAATAATTAGTCGAGGATCAACTCAGGTTGCATACTAGAGTGCCTTCTTAGGAGAGACACATTTTTTATGATATATGAGCTGTTAGAGATGCAGGATAGTGTGTGGGCTAAAGATCCTCAGGAAATGTGTGTTAGAAATTCCTGATCCTTTTGATGTTTTGTTGCTTATTGATGTTAGTTAGCTATTAAGTGAATATGTTAAGTTACATGCTAGAAAGCATAAATAGTCTTAGAATGACTGATTCAACCCTATTGTACAAATCTTGTCTAATGCTAACTGTTGTGGGGTTGTTCTTTCAGTTGAAAGATCAGTTAAGTTTTGTTGCATGTAATTGTGTTCATAAGATAGTTAGTTGGCATTAGTAAAAGTTTCTTTCGTAGCTGATAGTAGTGTGCGGGTGAGTGTTCCTAGTGACCCCAGAGGAGTGTTATAGTGTACTTGTGTGAGAGTTGGTGTATGAGAAAGTCTATGTTGGGAGTCTATGTGGTTGTGGTGGATTTTCTAATCGTATGAGTGTGTTGATACAACTGAAGGTAGTAGAGTTCGTAGAAAAGTATTCTAGTGCGTGCTCATGCGTGAGAAGAACCCTAGAGGGAGAGAGTCTAGGATGAGCGATAGTTTGTGCCTGGGGAAGCATAGAGATTTGAGATTGATAATGATTTGGTGTAGTCACCTAGGGACTTTGAGGCAATTCTCAAAACACCTATGGATAGGTGTGGAAAGTACTAGGGGACCATAGTAATGAAAGAATAGGATCTGTATGTGAATCGGGAAGGATCAAAAAGGTTTCTAAGAAGTTAGAGGAGGGTAGATAGTGTGGTATAGCACTAGTGTTAGTTGTATTTGTTCCCACTGCTATTGGGCTGTCGACCATGATATTTTTAGAATGAGACTGGTAACTGATTTTGGCATTAGTGTTCGTGGTAGTTTGGGATTGGATAGTGCAGATCCATGTGAGTTAGCTGAGTCAGAGGTCTCAGAGACCTTACTCGAAGAAGTACTAGTTTGAGACGCAGGACTCAAGAAGGGAACTGTTATGATGATCGATTGAAGGATTGCAACCTGAGGCTGAGTGGTCAGCCGATGGCAAGGGATGTTACTTTCTATATCGGGGTTGTGGTTCTCCTATCTTATGTGATCTATGGAGGAGAGAGATCGAATGTGGGTCATTTGATGGTTGAGATAGAAGATGGTGATCTCCTCTTTGGTTCTGTTGTAAGAAAATGAAGTTTTGTTCGCAATAAACTGTCTTTGTCTCATAGTGAAGGGATTTTTGAGAATCAATGGTTATTTTGGTTTTATGGCCAATGTGAAGGAAATGTTGCAGGAGCAATATGTATTGTAGATTCTAGAGGATCGGGGTTACCTGAGGAGGTGTTGAGTTATTCCTATCTTAGAGATAAGTGTTTTGTTGATATTCTGAACTTGTTAGAGTTGTTAGATATATTTACATCCTTATGTGTTAGGATACAATAGTAGTAATATGTTGGTTAGAGTAGCAGTAGGCTAGTTACTTATGGTTATGCTTTTTCTTGTAGACTTGTTGTTAGCAGAGTAGTGTGATGTAAGGGGTCTAGTATGCGGTAGTGAGCTATATGATTCGTAGTTGCCTATATTTATGGGCATACAAAATTTGTTGATTGGTTATATGTCGACATATTATAGCATTTCGGTTGAGGCAGCATGCCAATAACCTGGGGAGTAGTTGGGTTGAGGCAGTAGGCCAACAAATCTGTAGAGCAGGCGGGGTCGAGGCAGCAGTCCAACACACCCAGTACGCATGTTGTATATCTGTATTTCATGTGTATGTTATTTTGTGGAAACTCACCAAGATCCGTGCTTACTGAACTGTTAATGTTTTCAGGTATCGTTTGTGAAGGTTGAAAGGCAAATGTGTGATTGTACAATTCATCAGCAGCAACGAAGATTCCACATGTAAAGTCCCAAAAATCATAAGGAAAATTTTTCATTCTTAAAGTATTAATCTATATAACATTTCATTTCCAAATCATTCATTTTGAAAAATAGCAATTAAACATCAGAGTAAAATCTCAGTTATTCAAATGTGAAATTAACTCTCGGGGATGTTGTGTAGTCATGTCGGGCCCTTCCCTTCAGAACTAGAAGTATCTGAAACCATAAGCATAAACCGTAAGCACAAAGATTAGTGAATTCACCAAAATACCACATACCATACATATTATTGGGCCTAGTCCGCACATTGGGCCCAACCCATATTAATAGGCTTATCCCTTCTTAAACATTTGGCCAAAACCAACATATATTTGGGCCTAGCCCGTCAAACAATTGACCTATCCCGTCATAAATTTGGGTGTAGCCCATCATACAAATGGCTGAATAGGTCCCGACTCTGAATATCAGCTCTACTCGTAACACCATAATCCCAGAGCAGTACACTTTCTGATGCTCCTCCATAATCTCGAAGATCCCATCCTTGACCAAATCGAAAATCACAGGAGTTTGATGCAAAATATAGTGGGCAATCTTCGACGAAATGAACTCATGCATCTTCTCATCCATCGACTCAATGCCAACACCTAAGCTCGATCCAGAACCTAAACATCCTCCACGCGTGATCATCACAATTCTAAAAAGCAAACATATAATAATAAGATAATACCTATAGAATTCCTCAACCTACAGGCTTCCTAGATTTTCCATGAAGCTTCTTGATTTGAGTATTGTGATAACCTGAACCTTGTTCCGTTACCTTTAACCAATTTTTATTAATAAAATTTGAATTTATTGAGTTTGTGTCAAACTTCTTGGTTTAGAAAATCATCTAGTTTTATATAATTAAATTTATATACGAGTCAAAACCAAAATCACGAAAACCGGGTACGGCCGTAAACTTGTGTGCAGTTGGTGCCAATAGGACCCACCACCGACCATACTATACCCTATATATACTGGACCCCCACCTTCATATTAACCTTCTTGGCTGAAAACTCTCTCCTTCTCTCTCTCAACTCTTGACCGTAAAAATCCAAAAACACCCTTTTTCTTCTGAAAATCATCGAGAATCATCATTGGGAGTTGATTTGGAGCATCTAGAACACGTTTTTCATCGAATCCAGCATCCTTGTTCTTGAGTGTACAGCCGTACACCCTTCAAATCTACAAATCTTCATTGACCATAAACCAGTTCACGGCAGTACACACAACAAACCTTCAAAGGCCGTAAACCCTTCAAGAGGCAATTCACGGCCGTAAACTCCCTTCAAGGCCGTAAACCCCATTCACGACCGTAAACACTCCCAAAGTGGTGCATTAGACTGAAAAACCCGCTTTCCTCGATTCAATCAAATCCCGGTAACATTCCTTAACTGAAACCAAGAGTGTTTCTAACACTTTATTTAATAAAATCGCAAATTTAGATACATATATGTATTTAATTGTTATTAGGATTCCATTAAGTGCCACACACAACAACTCGAGGGTCTTCATTTCCAGTTCGTTGATTCGACGCTCGCACACAACTGACAGTGAGTTCATACCCCTATGCTTTGATGATTTTTAACGTTTTGAGGGGGAATACAAGCCAAACACAAATGATTTTTGTGAACTAAAACAAAAGGATTTCAACAAGTTTAAAATTTATGTAATAGATTCAGTCCAATGATCTCTATGAAATATATATATATATATATATATATATATATATATATATATATATATATATATATATATATATATATATATATATATTATCACTTTTGTATTATGTGGAGCATAAGGGGCACTTTCAACTAGAAAACATAATTGCATAATTTTTAGAACAATACACAAACCAACTACAATACATTTCAGGCAAGCTATAATAGGTATAGTTTGGGGAGTTTATCATATAGTTTTTACCAACCCATATTTCATATATTGTTAATCATATAAACTGTGACAACTTTAGTCTATGATATTCATTACTACATTCGGATAACAAGAATATAACACTAAATAATTATTTAAGTATAATTATTAATACTCTACCAAATATACAACGGTTTCAATTAATACACTACTAGAAAAAACAACCTTTTACGGCGCGCAATGGGCGTCGTAAAACGCTCAGACGATGCGCAAATGCATGTCAAGAAAGGCCATGTCTAACGAGAGATGACGCGCAATTACGACGCACATTTATGTCAAGCAATGCGTATCATTAAAACCCCTGTCAAGAAAGGCCATGTCATAAATGAAGATGACACATATTTTTGTGTATCGTAAATTTAAATGTTTAAAAAAACACATTTATATATTTACTAATTTTTAAATTAAATTTGCATTTAATGTCTCATAATAGAAATAAAATACCAAATACAAAAAATACAATCAATTGCATAAAATTTAATGTCATACAATTTTATTTCTTACAATATATAAATTTGCATTCATCTAATCTACTCTGTGTTTCATACTAACAATTGAAATGACGAATGCAACACTTGCATTTGTAGTATCTTATCTCTTTCAGCTTGAGTTTTCTTTTCCTCTTCTAACTCTAGAGCTATTTGCTTTCATCAACCCTGTAAACACAACACAAAATCACTTGTCATTTTCATTCTATTTTTAAAATTAATTCTTATTTGATGATACATGCTTTCCACATGGCACAACAACATCATCCTTCCAATTAATGTGTTCAGACTCATTAGGGATCTTCTTCCCAACTCCTTTACTCGAGTCCTTCCCTTTTGGAGGGTTGTATATATATATATATATATATATATATATATATATATATATATATATATATATAAAAAAAAAGGACAAATAAATGAGTCAATTACTAAAACACACCATTTATTTCACATATAAGTATAACTGACCTTGGACAACAGGATTTTTCTTGTTAGTAAAACAATATTGAGCACTTTTGCTCACCAAATCAGCAAAATAAATCCCTTTTCCAAACTACAAACATAGAAAAAGATTAATTTCTTAATCAAAATAAATCCTCTCATTTCTTTTCATTTCTTTTGAATTCGAGAACACGGTATAATAAATATTTTCCTTCCTCTCCCTTTCTTTCAGTCAAAATTTTCATTCCCTTTCCTTTAAAGAATTTACAAAAAAAAGGGAACAAGGCGTAATTGGTTGTAATTGGTTGGGAGAGTTGTATTTAAGTGATTTAGGGTTTAAAATGATATATATATATATATATATATATATATATATATATATATATATATATATATATATATATATATATATATATAGAGAGAGAGAGAGAGAGAGAGAGAGCGAGAGAGGAGGAGGAGGAGGACCATGTAGCCGGTTGCAGGAGCTTCACGGAGAGCTATTCGCAATCCTTGGCTTAAAATACCAACATAGTTTGTCAAACGAGAACCTATTAGGAACAATAGATTTCATTAACATCCATGCAAAAGACATTAATGCCATTCTTATCTTGCATGAATGATATAACTTAACAAAAAAAGTTTGAAGCTACAATACCATTCCAAAGGAGAATCTCTTCCTAGGCTTCCATGTGAGCAATCTTTTCTTGAAGACTAAAGAAATAAGAGGAAAAAGTATAAATTAAATTGCTTTTTCCTGTAATTTTCCATTATTATAAAAGACTTGAAAAACATAAATAATATAAGAATAAAACCTTTGCATGTCAATCTTTATATCAATTATCCGATTTTCTGCTTCCATGGCTTCCTTCAACCTATCTTCACTCAAATTTGTGGTTTCTTCCAACTTTATTTGTGTTTCACTAATTTCTTGTTCTAGTGTACTAACCTTTTCCTGCAAGTGTTCAGATACCATGAAATACAATAAATCATAATACAAGAGGGTATAATTGTCAAAACAGGATCAAAAACTAACCTAGAATTTCACATTATCATCAGTAAGGTTTTCTACTTTCTCATTATGAGTAGCAACAAGGTGCTCGAGTTCTATCAAACTCTCATTGTCTTTCGACTATGAAAACTTCTTCTAGCTCAAGTGCCCAATCCTACATTTTACAAAGTACAAACAAGGCCTCCTAGCAAGTTTTTTTTTTCCTACAACCAGAGTACAATGTCAATTTCATGTCATATATTATAAAAAGACAAAATAAACAAATCAACAAACATATGACTTCATTAGACAAGGAATCAGAAAAAAGTTTACCTATAAAATTCAGCAAATATATATTTATCACTAATGTAGGCAAGCAACTTTACTACCTGAAAATAATTTAACAAACTCAATCACTTCTCCTTACCATTTGCTGCATAGGACATATTCGATTATGAAATTACTATACTAACCTTGTGGAAAAGAGTATGGTTCATGAAACAGTCATTTACATATGCTAGGTACTTGTCATGAAGCTCAATAACTTTTCTAACAAAAACCTAGAGGAAAGTAAGTAAACAGATATAAATAAATAAATAAATTACTAATTTATACAAATTTTAATGTTCTTGTGATTTTACCTGTTCTTGTAACCCAACCACATCTCTCTTTTCAGCCTTCAAAAAACAATAAGTTGAGAGTTATTCATTGTTGCAACTTTATTTATAAAATACAATTCTGTAATAGGAAGATATGAAAGTAAGATGATGTAATAAACAAGTAAATCAAAGTAAGTTGCTATAGTATCAAAAACATATACTTCACCATCATGTCGCAAGCTAGTGTCAAAGTAAGTTGCTATAGTATTAAAAACATATACCTCAGCCCCTCATTTATTTTTTCCTTCCATTTACCCAATTTTGTAGTCACTTTTGACAAACATCATTTATCTAGGGGCAAAAAAGAAACAGGATTGTGAATCAACATTAGTATATAGTATGTACAAAAAATATTGAGCACTTTTGCTTACCCTGAACGTGTGAATCCAATCCAAACGTGCGAAAATCTGAATAACACATGAGCTGGCTTTTACAAACATGAGAAACATAGCAAAATTGAAGATGAGAGAGAGGATTCAGAGTCTAGAGAGAGAAAATTTATGAGAAAGTAAGAAAAATGGGGTGTTGAAGGAAATGGTGAATCGCCATGTGTGCTTGGCACCAATGGAAGCTCGAAAAGTACTCATACAAACACACAACACACACAGTGAGAAAGAACCGTTGGGTTTTTCATTTTCATTATTAATCAAAGTAACATGGAAATATTTTACCAATTCATGGATAAGTAAATCGAGATAAAAATCTAGACAAAATTTCATCTTGCACATTGAGTATAGTTTATGTAGCTAAAATGAGCATACATTACATACATACCCATGAATGCACGATGCATAAATCATGTGCCACGTGTGTCACTACTGAACACGCTTCTATAACCAACCAGTTCCCTGAAGCCTCAAATTAACAAAAACATAAGCAACTTCTTTTTATCACTTTTTTGAAAAAAAAAACATGTTGATAAAATGACAAAACTGACCTTGAAGGACAAGTTCATGTCATTCTAGTCCTGCCAAAGTTTCCAGCAACATGGCTCATGTTAGTAACCTTAGATCGCCTATGAGAAAGCGCTTCCATCACCATTCCCACATGCTCTTCATTCACCTTAAATGTATTACAATCATATAAAAATCCATATCATTAAAATACAAATACAAATAGTAGATCAGTGTTTTTTTTACCTTAATGGTTACTTCTTCAATTGGCTCTAGCTTCACACCTTTCTCAATCTTGTACCTAACATATTATACAAATAATAATCATTATGAACCCTAAAAGTTCATATAAGAAGTAGAAGATAGAGAAAACTTACATAACTCTTGGAGGGGATACAGAAAGCTCAAAATTTTCACGCCTCATATTCTCAAGCAAGATGCCTACAAAGTGAAGGAAGTTAGCATACATAATAATTCTTTGGTGATTTTTTTAAAGAATATGATGAATTAAAGAGTATATGATATGACCGAATTGAAGTTCTCCTCTTCCTCGAACCTCATATGATTTTGCTAAACCAGGGATAGTTTTTATGGCTAAGTTTGTTTTTGCTTCAGCCAATAGTCTATCACCAATCTTTCCTCCAGTTAACTACACACATTAAAGATGATGAGGTATATACAAAGTACAAACATTGGATTACTTGAAAAGTTAGAGCAAACTATAAGAAGAAGAAGAATAAGACAAGTTATTTTTCTCTTACTTGAGGACCATCAAGTCCAGCTAAAGGAGAATCATTCACACCATCTTCTTCCCCTCTTGATGTTACGCATGACCCCAAACACCCACTCGATATGCTGCTTCTCACTTTCTTCATTCTGACAACAATTATGTCGTTTGAGATTCCCTATCACCGGAAAAAAGCCTAATAAGAAGTCAGAGATTGCTGACTCTGTTCCAACCTCCGATAGTCCTCCTCCTCCTCTACATCATTTCCGTGTCGAGAGTTACATACACAAAGGTAAACAAAGCAGAAGAGTCACTATCACCAGTTAACCGTTACCACCCACCACCTTGTTGTCGCCACTGCTATGATTGGTTGTCCACTCCATCACCGGTGCCAATATTCCTGTCACACCCCAAAACCGATGGCGGAAACATTCCGGGGCAAAGGACGTCATGTGTAGTATCAGAACCATTGTACATAGTAAGCATAGTAAACACCACCATTACATTACATATGAATATTTACATTTGTTTCAAAGTGGAGAAATAGATAGTTTATATATACATAAGTATAACAAAAGTATAGACAAGACTGTTATATGCACCGTCTTCTCCAAAAGCAAGCGAGATACCTGTCTAACGTGAACATGAGAATACAAGAAATTTTAGAAATATCAACATAAAGTTGGTGAGTTCATAAGCGATTGAGTTCTGGTAAAAGAAAACATTCCTTTGATTTCATGAAAAGTAGTTTCCCAAGAAAATCCCATATTTTCTTATGAAAGAAGTTTAGTTATCCATTTGTTAAACAGCCTGTTTATGAAAAGTTGAGTTATCCCAGGAAAGACCCTTATTTTCCTTAAAAGTTAATGATTGGTTATCGATCCAGAATGAAGTGTACAGTTATCTACCATACTTGTTTAGTTAGACAATGTTTCCTTGAAAGTGGGGTTAATCTTGATAAAGTACATTAGTTTTAACATGTATATAAAACTAATAAGTAGGTAGTGAACAAATTCCTAAGGGGATCACTGATACCCTCTAGTAATCAAAACAGTTATTACTCTGAGGTTAGTTCACTAGGTTCATTATTACTAAAAGTAAATCTCCATTATCTAAGTTTGCGAGTTCTATAACCATACAATAAACTGGATATGGTGCGTAACGGGGCCAATATCATTTTATGACTTTATCACTCGTAGACCTGTCAGTCCCACTGTAGCTAGCATTAAGGTGTGGGGTACTCAGCCCCGTATAGATCTATACACACAAGTCACGTTCTCCCTCCAGGAGATTCTGGTTACAGGGTCGGTCCTCCACTCGCGTATCTCTGTGGAGTGTTACCGAGGATGTGTCTCCAATCTTAAGATTAATAAATTTACAAGTAATAGTATAGAAAATCTTGTTTTATTGGTCCTTCACTCGCGTATCTCTGTGGAGTGTTACCAAGGATGTGTTTCGAATTCTAAGATTAACAAATTCACAAGTAATGATATGGAAAATCCCATTTTATGATTGGTATAAATCCTTTGTAAATTATAAAGTACAACATAAAATATAACATTTTATGATGAGGTTCACAAGTTCCTTGTTTTGGTTTTGAAAACTAACTCTACAAGTTAATTTCTTAATCGGTTGGTAAAGAGGTTTTCAGTGTTAAAAGCATACTGAACATGTAAGCATTTCATACGAAATAATAAGTTTTAAGTACAAGTTCCCTTGTACTTTTGCTTGTATTCCCCCCTGAAAACATGAAAAACTCGGAAAAAGGTGTAGGCGTATGAACTCACCTGACGTGGGTGTGCCGGGTAGGATGCTAGGTGTCAATTTAGGACTTGAACACACGCGAGGGTCCTATGTAACAAGAACTGATACATAATTGTATCTAGTTAGTTATTGAATTACTAATTAAGTAAGTAAATACACTCTAATGTGCGAAAACACTTTACTTCAAGTGTTAGGAATGATACGGGTTGCATCTAAGGAGTGTATGGCTTCGTTAAGGAGTTTACTCTTCAAGTGTAAGCCCTTAGGGGTGTTTACAGCCCAAAGACCGTATCCCCATGAGTTTACGGTCGTAAACTCATGGGTGGGGTGTTTTTGGGTATTTAAAGGTCTCATATTGCACAAGGGAAGGTTCTAGGGTTGAATCAAAGGCTTAAGAAGTGGTTGGAACTTGAAATGACCTTGGAAATGGAGTTTACGGTTTATGAATGACCCTTGGTGAGTTTACTGCCGTAAACACATGAGTTTACAGCCGTAAACTCATGTTTGGCTCATTTTTGCATGGTTTGGTGCTTCATATGAAGGAATACAAGGTTCTAAACATTAATACAAGCCATGGAGGGAAGTTAGGGCACCATATGACTCCTTTAGGGAGTTTACGGCCAAAGGATCAATTCCTTGGGGGTTTACGGCCATAAACTCTATGAGGATTTGGTTTCTTTGATGTTTAAGGTCCCTACTTCGATGGTGGTTGATTCTATGTTGAGATCTAGGCTTAAGGAAGGAAGAAAGGGTCTCTTTGCACCCTTAAAGTTAGTTCGCGGCCCAAGAACATTCATAGGCCGTAAACTCTCATTCATCCTTGATTCATGGTGTTTTCTAAGTCGAAAACATGTTAATCCTAGTGTACACTGAGTTAGGATAGGAATACTTACAATCTAGGAGCTTGAAATGGATGATTCTTGATCAAATCCGAGTTGTATAGAGAGAGTAGAGAGAGAGACTTCTAAGAGCTGGAAAAGGGTGAATTGGAGGACCTCTCATCCCTTATATAGGGTGATTTTACTACCCAAGTGTGTTTACCACCCGGAGTTTACCGCCCGGAGTTTACCACCCGGAGTTTACCACCGTAAACTCCATGTTTACGGCCGTAAACTCCACCTTATGGAGTTTATGGCATGGTTTTTGATATTAGGACTTCAGTGGCGCTTTTCTAACACTTGATCCTTAAGTGTAGTCGGCTCGGAATACTAATATGGACTTTAATTTGGGCTAAAAGATGGCGGAAATGAATTTGATTTTCAAATGAAATTATAGACTGCTGAAATTCTATATACGAAATATTTGGGTTTACACAATTCCCTTCCCTCTGTCGTCCATTCTCCTCACTAACCATTGCCAGAAAAGAAAAGAGAAGGGCTGCAAGCTGCTATCGCAGCTCCATTCATCGACCACCATTGCATTTGTTGAGAATCTCCGGTCACCACCACCTGCTACTGCTCTAATTTCATTTCGATCGTTGCTCCCTGCCGGTGCTTCTTGACCCACTGTTCCCAATCGTGTTTGACCCTCTTCCTGCAGAGGAAAGTTCTTGAAAAATACCTAGCTATTACAAAGAGGGAAACTAAAGCAGAGGAGGAAAAAAACGGAGGCGGGGTTTTTAAGTTTTGGGATTTCATTTTACCCGGATGAACGCGCGCGTTATATTAAAATTTATAAAATGATAGTCTTAGACGACACACATTTTATTATAGGTTCCCTACATGTTTTTATTTTTTTTGTTTAGACACTAATTTTAGGGCACGCAAAAACGCGTGACCTTAATCCTTAAAATTTTGCGAAATTGACATTATTTTTCAGGGCACGCACAAATGCTCGCCCTCTATCAGCAAGTATCATTGTTTGCGCTTCATTAAAGGGCAGTTTTCTAGTAGTGGTACGCTAGCTAATACATGATTGTGAGACATCTCTTCAATTGTCTCCTGGAGGAAGAACGTGAGATTTGTGAATAGATCTATTCAGGACTGACAATCACACACCTAAACTGCTAGCTACAGTTAGGCAGGCATGCCTGGGGTGACAAATATCATACCGTACGATGCCTGAAGAAACATCGCTGAGGTCGCTAGTCATATCAAGCATGGTTATACAAACTCTCAATAGTAAAAACTAACCATTGTTAACGGGATTTCATTTTTCATTAGTTTTATTTTAATTAATAAAACTACTATATATATTGGTGGTAGCCAGGGTTTTCAAACAGAACACACTATACATACTGGTGGTAGCCAAGGTTTTCAAATAGAACATACACTACATACTAGTGGTACCTAGGGTTTTCAAATAGAACATACACTACATACTGGTGGCAGCCAGGGTTTTCAAACAGATTATACTATATATACTGGTGGTAGCCAGGGTTTTCAAACAGAATATACTATACATACTAGTGGTAGCCAGGATTTTTAAACAGGAACTACAATACATACAAGTGTTAGTCAAAGATTTTGAACAAATTACAATAACGAACATACATGTTAGAAAATATTGGATTTTCTTGGGAAACATGCATATATTTTACAGAATTCAGTGACTGGTTTTCATTACAAAAACATTCTTATGAACTCAACAACTTTATGCTGATAATCTTTCAAAATCACTTGTATTCTTAGGAAATCAGTAGACAGGTACTCTCTCCGACTTTTCAGAAGACGGGGCATTTAGAGTCTTGTCTTTTTATATTTTGTTAAACTTTTGATGTATACAAACTATGTATCAAACATATGTAAATATTAATATCTTAATGTAATGGTAGTGTTTACTTTGATTATTATGATGAAATTGCTGTGATACTATACATGATGTCATCCGCCCTTGAACGTTTCCTTTGTTTTAGTTTGGGGGTGTGACAGATTGGTATCAGAGCTATTGTTTATAGTGAACTAAGGTATACCGAACCTTACATGGTATACAACTATAAATGTTAAGGGGCCAAAGAGCTCTAAACTAAAAGTATACTTTTTAAAATATAAGTATTTTATAAGAAGTATACAAGTATACCTATGTACCAGAAACCGTATCATGAGTAGAACAAAAAAAAAGTATTTAGATGTTGGACAATGCAGCTAAACCTGGATAGTTATGTAATCATGTCTAGAGTCAATATATCCTGATCAACTATATTTATTTGAGACATGACCAACATGTGTTTGGGAGTGACTGTGGTATTGCAGCAAGCCTAAAACTTACCAAGCTATATACAACAAGATATCAATAGAACAGAGCATACAACTTAAAATACTATAGGCGTATTTTAGCTAGAGCCGAATACAGTGTAACTGATCATTCCAAGTGTTGCTACTTATTTCTTCTTAGCGATAGTTTACTTGTATTAGTAACACTTTTTTGTTTATCTCTTAGTAGAAC